CTCATGGATAGGGCAATCTTGTCCTTCCCAGTGGCCATTTGATAATGTCTGTAAACATTTTTGGTTGTTACACTGCTGGAGACCAGCTGCTCCTGACATCTATTGTGTCGAAGCCAGGATACAGTTTAACATCCTACAAGGCACACAGCAGCTTCCCACAGCAAATTATTCAGCCAAAACATCAGTTGAGCAGATATTTGGGAAATCCTAGTGTGTAAATCATTATTGGTTTTTACTAAGAAATAATATTTCTGGGGTGCGGTGGCCCACACCTATAACCCAGGTACTTGGGAGGCTGAGGCAGGAAGATGAAAAGTTTGAAGCCAACCTGGGAAATTTAGCAAGACCCTGTCTCAAAATTTATTTAAAAGTGCTGGGATGTAGCTCAGTAGTAGAGCACTCCTGGGTTCAGTCCCCAGTTCTGGAAAAAAAAAAAAAAAAGAGAGAGGAGAAGGAGATAATCTTGAATAGCTGTTGAAGGTGTGGATGCAGGAGCAAGATTGCTTGTGACGTTGAGCAATTTAAACCAATCTGAGCCTTAGTTTTCTCATCTGTGAAATGGGTATGATGTGTACTTACTGGCATGTGATATTGAGTACCTGGAAAGACCTGAGTCCAGCATCCAACACATAAATAAGACCTGAAAACAAACTACTTTAACATGTATTTTGAGGGGATCGTAAGACATTTCAAGGTATGTGCACAATGTGTACCCATCAAGGTAATTGGCATATTCACAGACATTTGTCATTTCTTTGGAGAACACCCAAAATCCTCTGTACCATTTTGATATGTACAATTGACTTGCTGTCAGCCATAGTTATCCTACAGTACTAGAGAATGTTGGAAGTTATTTCCCTGTGCCGGTTAACCATCTTCTCTCCATCTTCAAGTATCATTATAATATTAAGTTGAAGACTGATTGCAAGAAGATCTTCCCTCTGGGAAGTCCCATCCTCCTACCTAATGACACTGAGCTTGTGTCTGCCCACCTCACCTGCCCCCAGAGAGTGACCGGAAAGCCTTTTATGAGAGCTCCCAGTGGAACATCAAGAAGAACCAGGACACCATCAGCCAGCTCCGAGAGGAGACCAAGATTCTCCAGCTGCAACTGACGGACTTGCTTCAGGTGAGGGTGAAGAGGTGGGTGGCTGGGTGCTGGGGGTAGGCAGGTGGCCTGAGTGAGGGGTGACGGGCTCCTCTCCTTGCAGGGAGATGAGAAAGTGGTCCAGGCAGTAATTCAAGAATGGAAATCAGAGAAGCCATACCTGAAGAACAGGACAGGCCAGGTTTGCCTCACCCACTGACCAGCTCCCTTGTCTCCATCCTGGGTACCCTTCTCACTGGACTTCCTGCTGCCACTTTCCACCTCTCCAGACCTTTCCCTACACCGGCTGCCAATCATTTACTCCTCGAAGAAATCTTTATTAAGCACTGGCTCTGTGTTTGACATGGTGTTAGGTGTCAGGGACCATGCAGTGACAAAACAGATCAAGTCTCCCTTCCAAGAAGCTCATATTCTAGTAGAGAAGCTGACCAACAAGACCCAAAATGAAACAAAACCTCCTCCAAAATTTGGGCATGGTGGTACAGCCTATAGTCCCAGCCATGTGGGAGGCTGGGCGGAAGGATCTCTTGAGCCCAGGAGTTTGAGGCCAATCTGAACAATCTAGAGACCTCATCTCTTGGGGGGGGGAAAACTGAACAACAGAGGTAAGAACAAAGGAATTTCCAGTAACGATAAGAGAAATAAATAAAGTAGTGTCATTTACTAGAGAAGGGCAAAAACTGGTACTTCAGATTGGGAGTGAAGTCAGCAAAGACCTCTTTCCAAACGAGGTGATATTTGAGCTGGGAATGGAACATTAGAAAAAAATCTGGGAAAAAAACTCCTGGCAGAGGGAACAGCAAGTGCAAAGTCCCTGAGGTAAGAAGAAGCATTGAGTGTGGAGACCAGGTGAAGACCAGGATAGCTGGGGAAGAGTGAGCCAAGGCAGGGAGACCCATCCTGGCCTCAACCATGACACGGGGTGTCATGGTTCCTTGAAGTGGAAAATAGACTTCAACAAGACAGGAGGGGAGGCAAGAGGAGAAGTCATCCAGGTGAAAGATGCTTTGGCCTGCACTACTACCAAAAGGGTAGAGGTTGAAGGAAATAGTTGCCTCCGGGGAAACCTGACAGAGATAAGAGAGAATTTGCTAACAAATGAGATATATGTGGGAGAAAAAAACTTTGATGGCATCAATGTTTGGGGATTTTTTTTTTGTCTGTTTTTGGTGCTGGGTACTGAACCCAGTTAAGCAGACATTTTATGACTGACTTACCCCCCCAGCAAGATTTGGGGTTTGAGTATGAATGGAGCTACCATAAGCCCAGATGGGAAAAATGGCAGAAGGACGCGTTGGTGAGACAATCAGGTGCTTTTGGAAGGGATGATTTTGAGAGTATGCATGTGGGCATAAGGGGAGGCTTAGTTTAGGTGTCTTCAGTGTAGAGATGGCCTCTAAGCCCCTGAGACTGTGTAAGATCACCAGTGGGGAGGGTATGAACCAGGAGGAGAGTCTGCGACTACCTCTCTCCGAAAACAAAAGACACAGAGACCAGAGACTGAATGGCCAGGGAGGTGGGTGAAAATTTGGAGATTGAATCCATCAAAGAAAATCTGCAGAGACGCTGATAAGAAGGGAGATGAAGGGGCTGTGGTTCAGTGGTAGAGCGCTTGCCTAGCATGTGTGAGGCACTGGGTTCCAGCCTCAGCACCACATAAAAATTAACAAAATAAAGGCATTCTGTCCATCTACAACTACAAAAAAAATTAAATAAATAAATGAAAATTTAAAAAAAGGGAGATCAAGGCCACTCTGTGGGAGAAGGGAAGAACTAAAAGACTCAGACCCCTGCTCTTGCACTTGTCCTCCTGCAGCAGGCCCTGGAGCACCTGGACCACCAGCTGAGCGAGAAGGTGAAGCAGGTAAATGCCTTGCGACACCAGGTGGTGTTGAGGCAGAAGCGACTGGAGGAGCTCCAGCTGCAGCACAGCCTTCGCCAGCTAGAGATGACCGAGGCACAAAACTGCAACACGGAGGAGGCCAAGGTAGGGCCTCCTCGCATAAGGAGGCGCAAGGCCAGGCCTGGGGAGCTGGGGCTGGGGGGAGGAATGGAGGAGGGAGGGGACTCAGCCATCCCTGCTGCCCACTAGACCTTGAGGAACCTGGAGAACCGCCTGGAGAAGGCCCGGATGAAGGCAGAAGAGGCAGAACATATTACCAATGTGTACCTGCAGCTCAAGGCCTATCTCCAGGTAGGCACTAGGCCTGCTTGGCGGGAGGAGGGCAGGTCTGCCCCGAACCACAGTCACAGACCTGTCCCACTCCCATGCCCAGGAGGAGAGCCTCAACTTGGACAACCGTCTGGACTCCATGGAGGCTGAGGTGGTGAGAACCAAACAGGAGGTGGAGGAACTGCACGTGGTGAATCAGGAGGCCCTCAACGCACAGGACATTGCCAAGGTGCCAGCCCACCTGTCGAGGTCTCCTCCCCCAGAATCTGAACCCAGCCTCGCCTGAGCCGCTCTTATCTGTCCACCACACCCTGCCGACCTGTCCCGGCAGTGTTTACCGGGGCCTGTGCGCTCTGCCTCCAGCCGACATAGGTACCAGCTGCCCCTCTGCTCGCCCTCCAGAACCAGCTGCAGTATCTGGAGGAGACCGTGATCCGAGAACGCAAGAGCCGTGAGCGCTTCATAAGTGATTGCAAGAAGCGTGCTGAGGAGAAGAAACTGCAGAACGAGCGCATGGAGCGCAAGGTGGGCGCACCCAGGGATGCAGGGCTTCGTGATCAGCCCACACCCAACACGACCTGGCCTTGTCCCTTCCCAGTCATGTCCCCATTAGCCCTCACCCTGAACCCTTTCCTACTCTAGACATTTCTTCTAACCCCCCCACCCTCCCTGACTCCACCTCCACTTGATGCGAGGGTTCCTCCCACATCCACCACATCCACATTCTGCCCTCCTCTCTCCTTCCCTCCCACCTAAGTGCCCCATTTTGGCGCTGCCAGAACCTCCCCTTACTCTCTGGTCTCCACTTATCCTTCCCCCTTCTGACCGGGCCTCTCTGACCTAAATCTGACCCTGCTGATAGTCCGCCCCTCTCTCGACTCCTCCCCTTTGTGCTGGCTCTGAAGCCACCTCCTGCCGAGTCCTCCTGATCCCCGCCCAAGTGTTCTTACCTGGCTCCAGGTCTTTGCACGGCCCCCACTCCCCAGTTTGAACCCAGTCCCCTCCCAGCCCTGACCCCAAACCTCAGTCCACCAACTGACCCTGGCTTTGATTCACTCCAAGAGCAGACTCAGCGGGAGCACATACTGCTGCAGTCGGACGACACCCTCCAGGACCACCTGCGCGCCAAGGACGAGGAGCTGCGACGGCGCTGGAACATGTACCAAATGGAGACAATTTTCGGCAAGGTCAAGGACGCCACCGGCGTAGCAGAAACGCACGTGAGTGCTGCAGTAGCCCCCTCCCTCCCCAGACGGACCCCAGCCGCGTCCCGGGGAGGGAGACCGCCACACTCCGCCTCCCCTCTCGCCGGCCTAGGCTTCTGCGCACGCACTTGCTCTCTTCATGAGAGACACCCCTTTCCCCTCAGCTGCCGGCCGACCGACCGGAGAAACTGCTGCCCTTTACACAAGACCCACAGGACTGCCTGCACCGCTTCCTCTCCTCCTGTCTTACCCCTGCACTGACTTCTTTGGCCTGCCCCCTGGGGGAGGACTCGTCTTGTCCTGTCTCTCACATTTTACAGTTGTCCTCTTTGAAAAATTTCTTCTTATTCTTCCTTTTTTTGATACCAGGAATTGAACCCAGGGACACTTAATCACTGAGCCACATCCCCAGCCCTTTTTAAATATATTTTATTTAGAGACAGGATCTTGCTAAGTTGCTGAAGCTGGATTTTTCTTTTAATACTTTTTTTTAGTTGCAGACGGACACAATATCTTTATTTTTATTTGTTTATTTTTATCGAATCCAGGGCCTCACACATTGGAGGCAAGGGCTTTACCACTGAGTTACAACCCCAGCTCCCTGAGGCTGGCTTTGAACTCTCAATCCTTCTGCCTCAGCCTCCCAAACCACAGGGATTTCAGGCGTGTGCCACCGTGCCTGGCTTGAAAAAATTTCAAGGCTCCTGTGTCCTCTTAAAGTGCCTGGTTTCCACTGAGGAACACTAGTCTGTACCTTTTGGGTTCTCTGTGACCTTGCCGCTGCTCCCAAGGAGTTGATCCCCAGGAGGCCCTGAACTCCCAAATATGGGATCATCTGGGGCACCAAGGCAAAGCCCTTTTCAGAAGTGGGTCCAGTGAGCGGATGGCTCCCCAGACGCCGGTATTACTAGTGAGAATGGACGAGATTCCCTGCCAGAAGTTGCTGGCACGTTAATTTTGGAAAGCAGCTATGCTCACCGCTGCTCTGTCCCCCACTCTATATCGATTTTGGCCAGCTGAAATGTAGACAGGGGCGCAAGAAAGATGATTTGTCCGGGATTTTGTACACTCTTGAGGCAACCCGGAGTCCGACCCACACTGCCCCCATACATCAGTTTGCAGAAGCCACCAGCTTAGACCACTTATCCTGTGTGGTGGGGAGGAAGGAGAGGAGACGGAGCAGGCCTGTGCCTCCCTAGGCTCTGACTGGGGCTGGGTGGTTCGCAGTCCGTGGTGCGGCGGTTTGTGGCCCAGGGCGACACCTTCGCTCAGTTGGAGGCTCTTAAGAGTGAGAACCAACAGACGCTGATGAGGCTAAAGGAAGAGAAGCAGCGGTTACAGAGGGAGCTCGAAGACCTCAAGTACTCTGGGGAGGCCATGATGGTGAGGTGAGGCCAGGGTGCTCAAGGGAGGCCGGAGGGAGGGCGGGGTCGGCAGTGCTCGGGTGGTGACTTCTCCTCCCCTCCCTGCAGCCAGCAGAAGATGCAAACTGAGATGCAGGAGAACCTCAAGATCGAAGGGCAGCGACATGCTGACGCACAGGATCAGCTGGAGCGCACCTTGAGGGCGATGCAGACGACTAAGGAAAACCTTGAGCACCTGGCGAGCAAGCTGAATCACGTCAAAGTGGTAGGCCCCGCCCTCGAACGGTTCAGAGCCTCTTAGGACTTTAGAGGTTCAGTCAAGCTTGGGGGTACCGCCGCCTAGGCCCAGGGAACCCAGGATGTCAAAAGCTCCGCCTACAGGAAAGCCCCTCCCCACTCATCGGAGTCCCCGCCCCATATCCCTGGTAAAGCCCTCTCTACCCCCAAGAGGCCTAGGATTTTAGATACTTTGACCTGCCTCAAGCTCCGCTCCCCATGGGAAAGGCCTAGTCTTCCTCCACCCCAAACCTCAGAGACCCTCCTCCAATCCTGGAGCGGCCTGAGACAGGAGAAGCCCCACCCTATCGTTGCACAAGTCCATTTTTTCAGAAGGTCGCTACTGCCTTCCTCGCGTTTCTTCTACCCTTCACCAAGAGGCCTCCCCGCACCTTTTTTATGCCTCTGGCGTTCAGAGACCCGCCCTCAAGGCGTGGCCTTTGATTTCAGAGTCCGGGCGCCTTGGGTAAGCACCAGCCCAGGGGGTGGCTCCTCCCCTCTGCAGCCGAGTCTCTGAGGGAAAACCCCAGCTTGGTGGCCCAGCCCTCAGAGGCCCAGCCTCTTGCAACTGACCTGGCTCTCGCTGGCCGCAGGAGAACGGCCGCTTTGCGGGAAAGGAATTAGATCCCAACGCTGGGGACTATCTGCAGAACCTGCTGGGCCTCGTGGAGGAAAAGTTGCTGAAACTGCAGGCTCAGCTCGAGAGCCACGATGTGCCGGAGATGCTGCGTCACATCGCCGACCGCGAGGTGCCCCTGAAGCCACGGGGCAGGACCCAGGAGACCCTGGGGCTGAGGGGGCGGGGCAGCCTTTAGGAGGCCAAGTTGGAGAAGCTCAGGAGCTGGAAAGGGGTCTTAGGGACAACGGTTTTGGTGTGGAGTGAGCCTTTTACAAAAGGGAGAGGAGCCGAAAGAGCTGCAGTGGGTCTCGCGAAGCCAGAGGGCGAGACTGGGGGATTCAGGGTGGGCACCCAGAGACTTAGGGGCAGGGTCCCAAGACCCGCGGTGGGCCTGAGTGACAAGTGGGTGCAGCTGGGCATCGCAGTGTCTGGTGAGAATGAGGGACGCAGCCGGGCTGGAGGAAAACTAAATAGGAGTGGGTAGTGGTCTCGCATCGGCATGGAGGAGGGGAGAGGAACTTCCCTGGGGCCCCAGCCTCGCCCTCACCTCCTCCTCTACCCCCTCCACTTAGTTCTATGCCACCCTAGAAGGAAAGCTGCCCCAGTACAACACTCGCATCCCCCTGCACCTTGCCAGTTCCAAGGACAAGTTCTTCGGTCAGTGCTGGCGGGAAAAGGGGGTGGGGTTTGGAGCGGCCAGAGGTGGTCTGAGCATGGGCTCAGGTCCAAGGTGGAGGTGGGTAGGGTGGTGATGACTGGGGAGGAAAGTCTGATTTGAGCTTGGGGAGCCGCATCGCCCCATCGCCCCGTGCCCTCGCAGACGAAGAGGAGAGTGAGGAGGAGGACAGCATAGTGGTGAGCCGCGCTTCACTCAAGATCCGCTCCCAGAAATTAATCGAAACCCGCAGCAAGAAGCGCAGCCGCTCGCGGAGGTCCTAGATTCGCATCTTGCCCATCTGGAGCCTCCATTCCCCTTCAGAGCCCCCGACTCCTCTGGGTCCAGTCACGGGTCCATGGGGCCCCTTCAAGGGCTGGATGAGGCCCGGACGGGGAGCTTAGCAGGCCAGTGGCAGCCCGGAGGAGAGGGGGCCGGACTAGATGTTCCCACAGTAAATCTCCCGAGGCGGGTCAGCGCTGGCCTCAGAATCGCGCAATAAAGGTCACTGACCAGCCTCCTGGGTATTCACCTCTTCTTGACCCCCTGCACGACTGAAAAGACATCGTCCCATAAAGGGGCCGCAGACAGCCCCTTCCTTCCAACCTGGGGCGTGATGACTCCTTTCAGCTGATGCATAAAGTCACGAGGGATACCCCCACACCTGGGGCGGAGCAGCCCTACCACTTGAGGACAGAGGACTCGGCCTGGGGACACATACCTGCCCTCCCTTAGCTATACGCAACTTCAGCTCTCCACACCTGAGGATAGAGAAAAAAGCCCTCCCTCGGGGACAGACGTGCCCTCTCCTGAGGCAGATTGATAGACGCCCACTGGTAGAACAGGGGTCTCCGAGGTGGGCCTGGGCATTGCGGTCGCGCGGGGGGCCACCAGAGTCCCGGGTCAGCCCGCCCAAGCGAGACCGGCCGCCCCGCCCCGCCCGCCCCGCCTGCCCCAGAGCTCAGCCACTGCCCGCCGGCCCTTCCGCCTCACTCAGCGGCGCCGCAGAGCAGGACGGGTGTGGGCCATGGAGCGGTCGGCGGGCAAGGAGCTCGCCCTGGTAAGGGGGTTGGGGATCTCGGAACCTCACAACCCGGTGACCCGCCCCCGGTCCAAAAACTTAAGGTTCCCACCCCTAGGACTCAAATCGGATCTGCCTCGGGTCCCCACTTCGGGACTCAGGGCTCTTAACCCAGTGAAGTGGCTGGTTCATGGGCGGGGGTCTTTGGGTGCATCTGAGGGAGAGATCAGAAGCATCCATGAGACTGAACCCTAGGACTCCACAAATGCCACCCCACCCCTTGAGAACCTGGGAGGAGTACCCAGGGCGGGAGGGCACTACCTGGGACCTGCCCTGCCGAGTCTTGTAGACCCCCGCGGGAAGCGGGAACCTCCCAGGAAGGCCCGGCTTGAGTTCCAACGGCTAGCTTGAGCCGTGGCCCCGGGACTGTCCTGAGCCCGCCTCCCGTCCAGGCGCCGTTGCAGGACTGGGGTGAGGAGACCGAGGACGGCGCGGTGTACAGTGTCTCCCTGCGCAGGCAGCGCAGTCAGCGCCGGAGCCCGGGGGAGGGTCCTGGGGGCAGCCAGGTGAGGAAGGGGCTGGGGGGGTCGGGGGCAAGAGGCGACCAGGTGAGGGCGGGTTGAGCGGAGAGACCTGGGAGTGACCGGGTGAGGGAGAAGCTGGAGAGCAAAGCTTGGGCCGCCAGGAGCAGTGGGGCTCGAAGGAAAGGCGGAGCTTAAAAGTGACCAGGTGAGGGTAGAAGGGTACCGGGGGCGGCTTGGTGAGTGGGGGTAGATCCAGGAAATAGTGAGGCCGGGCGATGGCGCGTTCCTGAGCGGGACCTGGGGTAACCAGGTAAGGGCAGAACTGGACAGACGGCTCTAGGGAAGTCGGGTTTAGTGGGTCAGAGCAGGAAAGAGCGGTGAAGTTTGGAAGCAGCCAGGTGACGGTAGGTGGGGCCTCAGCACAGCCGGTGGAGCGTGACTGGAGGGCCACAGAAGCCCAGGGTTGGCAAAGTGAGGGACCGAGGTCAGAGCTCAGGAGGACAAAGATGCCTGGAACCGGTTGCTGGAGAGTCCTTTGTGGACAAAGCAAAATAATAAATCAGAAATATTCAGATTCAGAGGAATAGACAAGATCAGATGGAATGGCTAGTGATGGCCGTGAATGAAAAGGGGCGTGGGGGGGCTCTCCTGGTCTCTCACTGCCGTCCCTCCCTGCCCCCCGCAGACCCCCACTCCCGCTGCCGATACCTTCCTCCACTACCGCACCAGCAAGGTGCGGGCGCTGAGGGCCGCTCGGCTGGAGAGGCTGGTGAGCGAGCTGGTGTCAGGAGACCGCGAGCAGGACCCAGGCTTTGTGCCTGCTTTCCTGGCCACCCACAGGGCCTTTGTGCCCACTGCCCGAGTGCTGGAATATCTGTTGCCACCACCGCCGCCCCCGCCCCCACCTTCCAGGTCAGTGGCCCTCAGAAACCTGCAGGTTCTCATCCCCAGATTCCCACCTGGGCTCCTTCCCCCACCTCCCCAGGTTTGGAACCAGGAAACACTCCCCACCCCAGAGCCCTCCTTCTAAGCACCCTCTGGCGCCCCCCTTTCATCTGATGAGGGCTTCTTCCCAGGGTAGAGAACAAGAAGACGGAAGGACAAGATCTGAGCTTCAATAAGAACTTGAGGTTGGCCGCCCTGAAAGGTGGGGGATGAGTGGGGTGGAGGGAGGAAAGGATTTCCAAGGTCAATGGTCAGTCTTGAGGTCTGAGGGCTGGAGGCTTGGCTGACCTGAAAGGTTGGGAGCTCCCAAGCTCGGGGCCCAGCTCTGAGCCTGCTCCTCTGTCCAGGGCTGTGGTATCTGTGCTGGGCTCCTGGCTTCGGGACCACCCTCAGGATTTCTGTGACCCTCCTACCCACCCAGACCTGGGCAGTGTCCGACTTTTTCTGGGCTGGGCAGCCCCAGGGAGTGCTGAGGCCCGGGAAGCAGAGAAGCTTCTGGAGGATTTCTCAGAGGAGCCTGAGGGAAAGCAACAAGAAGAGGAGCTGCTTGTGACTTGGGCAGGTGAGGGGTTCTGGTACCCGTTGTGCTCTGAGAAGGCAGTCCCATGCTGTCTGTCCTTCCAACTTCCTCCCCACTCTCAGAATCACAGATCTTGGGCAAGGATTCTAAACCACCTTGAGTCTCAGTTCTCCCCTCTGTAAAATGAAGATCTTAACTCTTTATCAAAGAATTAGCATTTGCCTTTGCTCCCCCTCTATCCAAAGGTACTCTGCCCTTGGGCTAGGGACCTGGGTTCAAATCCCAGTTTTGTTATTTGCTGACTGTGTGATCATGGATAAATCACTTCACCTCTCTGAACTGAAAAGGGAGGGGGTGGTGATAACAGTGCTTATTTCATTAGGCTCTTTATTCATTCATTAAATATTCAGCCACTGGTTCTGGCCCATGTAACCATGGACTAGGGCTCCCAATTCCTCAGGAAAGTTATTCAGTTAGAAAACAAACAATGGGGACTTGGCCAATAGTATTATTTTACTGATCCTTCATTATTAGATATCTACCACTTATAATAAAATGTCAACCATTAGTCATATTGATATTTTATTGTAGACTAGGTGCCAGCAAGCTGTCTGGTCCTTTATAGGACAAAAGTTGTTGACCACTGATATAGAACATTTTTGGAGTAGGGGAAAATATCTATAAACCTCACTCAGGTCTTTGTTGACATGTCACCTCCTCACTCACAGTGGCTTTCTTTGGCCCTCTCCTAACAGACAACCCCTCCCAACCTGTGTGTCCACTTAGTCTTTCTTATTTTTCTCTACAACACTCTTGACATCCCTCCCTGGATTCTAGCTTTTGTTCATTTCTGTGGCCTGTGAGCACAGGAGAGGAGGATCATATTAGTCTTGTCCTGACTCTGCCCCCAGGAGCAGGAATCACATGGATTAGTTGACAGAATAATTGTATCCTGCTTACAGAGTATCAGCTTTCACCCATCTGTGTTTGATCTGATCCTTATCACAAAAGCTTCTATCTCCTTAATCCTTATCCTTTAATCCCAAGATTAAAGTGGCCACATTCCTCTCTGCTTTCCAAAGTGGCAGCCACTTTCTCTATCCCTGGTGGCAAAGTCTCAGTTGTTAATATATTTGCACCCCGCTCCTTCCCTCCCTTGCCTTCAAGGTTTAATCAGTGAATCTCAAGTCTTTAGAATCACATAGTCCAATACGGTAGTTAGTAGTTACTACCCTTTGTGGCTATTTAAGTTAATCAAAATTAAATTTGTTAATTTTTTAAAATAAAAATTCACTTTTGCCATTATGCTGATCACATTTCCAAAGCTTGGTAACCACACTGAAGTGTTCAGGTAGAGCACATGTTGACCATGGCAGAAAATTCTATCTGCTGTAGTGGGACGTGGTGCACACCTGCAATCCCAGCTACTGGAGAGGCGGAGACAGGAGGATCGCAAATTTGAGGCCAGCCTCAGCAATTTAGTGAGAATTCATCTCAAAATAAAAATTTAAAAAAGGGCCTGAGGTGTATCTGAGTGGTGGAACACCTGCCTAACATGGGGGAAAATCCTGTGTTCTATCTCCATTACTGCAAGTAAACACAAAATCAACATTTTTAAAAAGCAGGGCTGTAAGCCCCTTGCGGTCAGAGGAGAAAAATGAACATTTATTGAATACCTAACATGTGCTAGTGTCTGAAACACACTTTTTTTTGTAATTATTTTTAGTTGTAGATGAACAAAATACCTTTATTTTATTTATTTATTTTTATGTGGTACTGAGGATTGAATCCAGGGCCTCACATGTGCTAGGCAAGTGCTCTACCACTGAGTTATAACCCCAGCCATAACATCTTTGAGTTTACTTTTTCCTATGGAAAACTTCAGACATATACAAAAGTAGAGAGACCAGTATAAAAAACATTTAGTCACTTATTACTTAACTTCAACAATTTTCAATTAGACCAAAAAAAAAAAAAAGGGATGTCTCAGACTTAATTACCTTGGGTATGCACTTGTAACTGATGAGGGCTTTTAAGACATAACCTTCATGCCCATAAACATTTCAAGAAATTCAGAAATACTTACCATATTTTAAGTCCATATTCAGATAACCTCATTGTTCCTAAATTGTCTGTTTTACAATGTTCTGTTCTTCAAATTGGAATGCAAAGAAATTCTACTCAAGGAATTTGACTGTTTCTTTCCCAGGTCTCCACTATTCTATCACAGTTCTCCCCTTCCCTTGCCTTTTCTTGGATGCTGTGTGTGTGTGTGTGGGGGGGGTCATTTGTCCTAAGGTGTGTCTCACATTCTTCTCGGTTCACGTGCCGGCTTCCCATGGTGCCATGCAGGTGTTCCTCTGTTCCCCCTCATTGCTCAAAAATCTAAACATTAGATTAGGTTTAGGTGCAATTTTCCCCCCAACTCTCACAAAAATTAAAGTTTTGTAATGCTACATGTCTAATTTGAAATGAAAGAGATAATTAAGCAAAGATAATTTTAGGACAATATGATAGTATCATATGAAGGAGAAATAATGAAAGTCACTTATACAATAATAACAGGTTTTGATGGTTTTTTTTTTTTTTTTTTTTTTTTGTTGTTTGTTTGTTTGTTTTCACCAGGAATTGAACCCAGGGTGCTTAACCACAGATCCATACCCCAGACCTTTTTGGTATTTTACTTAGAGATAGGGTCTTGCTGAGTTGCTTAGGGCCTCAGTAAATTGCTGAAGCTGGCTTTGAACTTTCGATCCTCCTGCCTCAAGCAGAGCTGCTGGGATTACAGGTGTGCAACACCAGGCTTGGCATACAGATGTTTTTGGTGTACTAATGCCTTGGCATGACTCACTTGGACACATGATGAGGGTGTCCAGTGACTTTGCCTGTAGTAGTATCACAGTGAAGGTGACAGCCACAAACACCAACTAGTGCCAGAGAGTGCACTGACAATGCAAAGACAGCTACATAGACAATGGTGACATTGCTTTCCAAATGGTGAATAATACTTGCAATTTCCAAACAAACAAACAAACAAAGTTCAGAATCTCAAGGTCCTTGCATCCTTGAAGCCAAAACAATTTGATTATGAGCAAAACAATCAGATTCTAGGTGCAAATTATAGTAAATAGATTTTTCCCATAATACAAATCTCTGGAGGGCCATTGGCTTTGGGGTGGCTAAATTAGCTATGCAGTCATTCTTCCAGGAAGCAAGATCTTTTCCTCAAAATGTCCCCTAGGGGGCGCCACCATTGAAACCCACCACAGAAAAATCATTCAGGTTTATGGAATACTTTATAGCAGTCTGGTATGCATAACTCATTTGCTCTTTTAAAACAATTCAGATAAAGAAGTTAAGGCACAAAGAGATTAAAAGTCATGTTTTATCTTTTTTTTTTTAAAGAGAGAGGGAGAGAGAAGGAGAATTTTTTTTTAATATTTATTTTTTAGTATTTGGTGGACACAACATCTTTGTTTGTATGTGGTGCTGAGGATCGAACCCAGGTGGCATGCATGCCAGGCGAGCACGCTACCGCTTGAGCCACATCCCCAGCCCGGCATGTTTTATCTTGATTTGCACAGCAAGGCTGGTGGACAAGCCTGGGTTTGAATTTGGAACTTTTTTCTTTGTGGTGCTAGGGATGAATACCTGGGCTCTGCACGTGCTAGACTCTACCACTGAGCTACACCCCATCCCTAAATTTGGAACTTTCTGACAACAATCTTCCCTCTCTCCAAAAGAGGACAGAAGAGTCTGATCTTAATACAACCTCCAAATCCTGCTTTCCACTTCAGATCTCTGTTCTGCCCTTTACTGAAGGTGTGACTTAGGGGCAAATTGTTCTGTGCCTCAGTTTCCCCACCTTAAATGGTGGATAAATTATAGCACTTCCTTCAATGGAGTTAGTGCCCTGAGCTAGCAAGTTAATTCATATGAGGTATTAATTTTTTAAAAAATATTTATTTTTTAGGTTTAAGTGGGCACAATATCTTTATTTCACATTTATGTGGTGCTGAGGATTGAACCCAGTACCTCATGCATACTAAGCGAGCACTCTACCACTGAGCCACAACCCCAGGCCCCCAGTGAGGTATTCATTATTGTTGCTATTACATCTTTTAAAATACTCAGGGAATTCACCCTATAGATGAGGGAGGTGAGGTTGAGCATAAAAGGATTTGCCCAAGATCACACAGGCAACTCTGGATTCAATTTGAGGGTTTTGATTCCCCTTCCCCCCACGGAACCCAGGGCACTTAACCACTGAGCCACATCCCCAGCCCTTTTGTTGTATTTTATTTAGAGACAGGGTCTCACTGAGTTGCTTAGGCTTTGCTAAACTGCTGAGGCTGGCTTTGAACTTTCGATCATACTCCCTCAGCCTCCCAAGCTGCTGGGATCATAGGCCTGCACTTCCGTGCCTGGCCAAAGTGAGCATTTTAAACCACATATCATTCTCAGGACCTCCCAGGGCCCAGTCCCCCAGACCAGACTCTCCGGAGGGCTTCATGGAAGAGGAGGAAGGGCCGAGGCGGGAAGGTCCCGAGCTCCTGGACTTCAGTGTGGGCGAGGTGGCCGAGCAGCTGACCCTTATGGATGTGGTGAGGACTGCAGACCGTGGCAGGGTGGGGATGTAGAGGGGAGGCGGGTTGCCGAGCCCCTACCCTACGCGCCTTCCCCTGACCAGGAGCTCTTTTCACGGGTGCGTTCCTGCGAGTGCCTGGGCTCGGTGTGGTCGCAGCGGGACCGCCCCGGGGCCTCAGGCGTTGCCCCCACTGTGCGTGCCACTGTGGCCCAGTTCAATGCAGTGACCGGCTGTGTGCTGGGCTCTGTGCTCGGGGCGCCGGGACTGGCAGCCGCGCAGAGAGCCCAGCGGATCGAGAAGTGGATCCGCATAGCCCAGGTGTGTGCCGAGGGGCGGAAGAGAGTGAGATGGGTCAGGGGCACAGGGCGGGGCCAGGGCACCTGCGGGGGAAGGAGAGGAGTTGGGGTTAGAGATGGGAGGAGCTTGGGACGGCTGGGCTGAGAGGCTGAGAGTGGGGGTGATGGGGAGGGAAGGAGACTGGAGGCATCCTGAGGGAGCCTGGGCAGAGGTGAGGCCGGAGCCTGAAGAAATGGGGGGGGGGGTCGGGACAGAGAGGGGCATGTGTCCAGGCGATGGGAGGGGAAGTAAGTTGATACCTGCGGTGACTGGTGACTTGGGTTCAGGGAGGAGGGTTCTAGGTCCAGAAGAGGGGCTGTTGACGCGTCTAGGACCCAGGGACCAGGAGAAGCCAAGTTCAGAGGGAGCGGCCGAGTCCGGAGAGGGAGGGGTCTCCCAGAGGAGAAGGAAGAGGCTTAGCTTGTCACGTGTGGGGCGAGACTTGGGGGTCTGACCTGAGGTCAGAAGTCACAAGATCAAAGGTGCCTGGTTCCTGGGAGTCAGACTAGGGACGTGACCAGCACCCCCATCCCATTAGTGCTGCCGAGAACTGCGGAACTTCTCTTCTTTGCGAGCCATCCTGTCTGCCCTGCAGTCTAACCCCATCTATAGGCTCAAGCGCAGCTGGGGGGCTGTGAGCCGGTGAGCCTGGGTTGAGGGTGGGGGCCACCCCATCCCAGCTCTGACCTTCTCAGCTCCTGACCCCTGACCACCCCTCTCTGTCCTTCCAGGGAACCGTTATCCACTTTCAGGAAACTTTCACAGATTTTCTCGGATGAAAACAACCACCTCAGTAGCAGAGAGATTCTTTCCCAGGTACAGACAGACTGGAACCCAGTGAATCCCAGGCCCAGCAAGGGGACTTGGGACCAGGCAGGAGGCATCGTCTTGTCCTTGTCACAATGTCCTTTCACTTGCATTTCAGCAGTGACAATTCTCCCGTCCATACTCAGCCTCACATTTTAATTTTCTCTGCTGTTTCCATTAGAGTTCGCACTGGGCCACAACCTTATTTATTCATTCGACAATATCCAAGAAGTCATGAGGGAAGGTTACTGAAGGTCAAAGTCATAGCCAAGTGTGGAAAAAAAATTGTTCTGGGGATTTACCTTGATAAGCAAGATTTTTAAATGTGGGCCAACAAGTTGGATTCGTTTTAGGCAAGAGTTAGGTTCTAATTACAACCAGGAGCTGGTTCTTAGAATCCAGATAGATGGAGTGTGAGGCCTGGAACCCTCAAGATAAGTGTGCGACTTGTTCACTCCTGCAGGTCTCAGTTTCCCCACGAGGCCCCCGCTGCGCCCCCTTATCTCCACATGCCCCTGCCTGCATTATTGCCCTTGTCCCTGTCCTGCTGTCATGGGTTTGGCCTGGCTGCAGCTGTCCCTCCCTCCGTCTCCATCAGGACAGGAATTCTGTCTCTCTCATTCACTGCTGTCTACTCAGCACCCAGGATGGTGAATGGCACTCAGTAGGTGCTCAATAAATGCCTTGTTAGTGAAGGCATATTCAAATAATGAGAGTTCAAGGGACAAGCCCTACCTAAGCATCTACTGTGTACCAGGTGCTATTCCTGCTGTGCCACCAACCAGGCATGATCACTGTCCCAGGAGCACGGGGACTCCAGCCCTGGACAGGGAGATGCAGAATGCAGCACTGTCTACTCCAGTGACCGCATGAGGAGCAGGCAGAGCAATGATGAACCAAATTCCCAGTGGGCCTGTCCCATCCAGGCTGGGGACAAGGATTCCCTTCTGTGCCCGCCATCACCCCTGCTCTCCCTCTCTCTCCACGTGTACTTTCCCCGGGGTAGCCCCCTCCTTGGGTTGGCTTGAAAACTCGCTTGTGATTCTTGAAAGAAGGAGGGGTGTACATGGTGGGTCTTGAGGTGACCTCTCTGAGGAAGGGTCTAAGGAGATCCCAGGGCCACTCAGTCCTTCCCTCCCCCACAGGAGGAGGCCACTGAGGGAACCCAACAAGAGGACAACCCTCCAGGAAGCCTACCTTCAGTGAGTGTTCCAGTTTGGGATGGGGGTCGAGGGGGACCTGGGGAGGGATGGGAGGTGATGGGGTCAGTGACGACGGCTAGTGACTAGAGCTTTGGGGGCAGCAGAAACTGCCCCCAGGTCCTGTTCCCTACCTTGGCACCTTTCTCACGGACCTGGTTATGCTGGACACAGCTCTGCCGGACATGTTGGAGGTCTGACCCTTGACCCTTGATCCCAGCTGCACGTACCCCACCCAGCACAGTAGGCCTCATACCACTCGCCCTGGATCCTGCCTTGTACTCCTGACCCCAGCTCCCTTAGCACAGTGGAGCTCCTGACATCTTAGCTCTTGACCTTGACCCTTTAACCTTGACTCTGATGGCTCTAGTTCAAGTAAACTTTGCCCCCAGGGGGATCTGATCAACTTTGAGAAGAGGAGGAAGGTGAGTGGCACTGGGCAGGATATAAGGAGGTGGCCTGAGGTGTGGGCAGCGGGGCAGGGTCTCAGCCACTGCCCCCTCAGGAATGGGAGATCCTGGCCCGCATCCAGCAGCTGCAGAGGCGCTGTCGGAGCTACAGCCTCAGCCCCCACCCACCTGTCCTGGCTGCCCTGCGTGCCCAGCGCCAGCTCAGCGAGGAGCAGAGGTGACCACCCTGCGGCCTAGCCCAGCCCCACCCCAGCTGACCCTGGATCACACGCAAGGTCCTGCTCACCCAGTGCACTTCCCTGGCTCCTTGCAAGACCCACATCTGAGCCTGGGTCCCAACCTGTGACCTCCAGCCTAGTTCAAGGGTCACCACTGACCTGTAATCCCACACTTGACCCCACCTGCCATTTTGACTTCCACCTGCAACAACTGTCCATCTGTCCTCTTCCCTACCTGATCCTATCTGATGATGAGTCCCTTCGTGACTTCTGCCATCTGAGTCTATGACCCTAATAACTGACCCCTGGTTCTGAGCAATGGACCTAGCCTGGATGTCTTCCTGACCACTAGACTCAACTGTCCCAATTGTTTCTCATTCTCTCAAATCCATGACCTTCACTGTGGTCCCAGTAATGACCTGGTCCTGAACTTTAGCCTTGACCCAATTCATCTTATTCTCACTCTGCAAATCCTTGTAGACCTGCCACTCAAGCCATCCCACTCCATCCTAAAGAGCCCTAATCCCTCATTGACCTGCTTTCCTCCCTGACCCCGAGGAACTACCAGCTTCTCCCCCCCCACACCCAAACTTGACCCCAACTGACGCTGACTCCTGTCTCCTCATCTCTCTCTGATGCCTGGACCCAACCCCCATCAACACACTGATCCCTCAGCTACCGAGTCTCCCGGGTCATCGAGCCACCAGCCGCGTCCTGTCCCACTTCCCCGCGTGTCCAGAGACGCATCAGCCTCACTAAACGTCTTAGTGCGTGAGTCTTGGGGGCTGCTGGGGGCGCATGGGCAGATACTGGGGGGCTGCTCCAGGGCTGAATCTGGCCTCAGCCTCACCCCCTGTCTCCATCCTCAGGAAGCTGTCCCGAGAGAAAAACTCGTCCTCTGGTAGCAGTCCTGGAGACCCCTCATCGCCCACCTCCAGGTGGGTACCCCAGTTAGAAGACAGCCTGGAGACAGCAGAGCCAGGGGTCAGGGCCGCTACCACCTCAGGCTCTGTGTCCCCCCAGTCTGTCTCCAGGGTCCCCCCCATCCAGCCCTAGATCTGAGGACCGTCATCTTGGACCCCCTGCTTCTCCAGGGCCCCAGGGCCCCAGCAGCAAGGTACCACGCCTGCCTGTGTTTGCATGGAGGGCTGTGTGTGTGTGTGTGTGTGTGTGTGTAACACAGGAGTGTGGGACCCGTTGAGTTCTCAGGGGTCCATCCAAGAGACCGTGTGGGTCTCCATAGCCCTGTTTGATCGGTCACCCACCTCGTGGCACAGATCTGGAGGGAGCTCCTGCTCACCCGCAGGGCATTCTGCAGAATACTCACCCTCTTACTCAAGTGTGTCCCTAGGAACCTGCACACCTGAAGGGAACTGGGCTGGACACCGTGGGCGGTGCTGTTCACTGGCATGGGCTTGCGGGTGTACAACAGGCGCGAGCGTGTGTGAACACATACTGCTTTCCTGTACACAGGATTTGCCTGTGAATGCGGGTCTGTGTGTATCTGGGTCATGTGCACATTTGTTTCTGTAACAGGGAGACGGGGTCTAGGTATGATGGGCTGGCGCATATGTGGGCCTGCTTGTGTCCCCTAATTGTGTGTCCGTGACTCTGGGGGTGTGGAGGGACGTTTGATTGTGTGTGCTGGGGAATGTGACCCTGGGCCTATTGAATAGACCACTGGGGGAGGGGCCTTGTGGTCTCCCACCCATCAGCACTGCGGATGCCTCTGCCCCCCCACTGCCTACAGCTGCCCCTGGGCCCGGACCTGTCCCTGACCAGTCCTCGCATCCCCCTCCCTGGGCAGCAGAGCTCGGAGGCCCGTGTGATTCGCATCAGCATTGACAACAACCATGGGAACCTCTATCGGAGCATCCTGGTGAGGGGCTGGGCTGGAGGCTTGCTGGGGACAGCCTGCCCTTGGGGCTGGGGCCCTCCCACCTCACCTCCTGCCCCCCTCTTCCAGCTTACTAGTCAGGACAAAACCCCCAGTGTCGTGCAGCGAGCCCTACAGAAGCACAATGTGTCCCAGCCCTGGGCCCGTGACTACCAGCTCTTCCAAGTCCTTCCTGGGGACAGGGGTGAGCAGGGACAGCTGGGAGCACCAGACTGGGAGGCAGGTGGGAAAGTAGCGGTCTGGCCAGGGCCAAGGCTGGAGCCCAGCGTTACCTGGGCTCACAGGGCCACAAGGTGTTTTAGGCACAGTTAGGGGTAAGATGGAGCAGGGTGGGGAGAGGAGGAGGAAGATATCCCGTGGGTTCAGGTAGCATTGTACTATTTCCCACCCTCACGCTGAGCCAGGTAGGAGGTTGTCCTGGTCTGGTGTGATGGAGGGGGCACTGAAGTTTGGCTTCTTAGAATTTATGAGCCAATGAGATTGTCCTGGTCAAATGCAAGGAGGGACTAGAAGTTTGTGTAACCTTAAATTTGTAGGATCATGAGTTTTTGGGGGCTCAACCTGGAGGGGCAGAAGATGACGGGGTGTCTGAGCTTAGATACAGGAGGAAACGAGGTTGTTGAGGCTCACCCTGGGGACCCTGGAGATGCCTGAACTTGGAAGAGGAGACAGCCACATGCTCTTGAACCCAAGGCAGAGAGCATGAGGTTGTTCAGTGTGGAGGCAGGTCAGAGGCTGTCTAGTCTTGGACAAGGAGAGACAAGAGTCATGGCGGAAGGGTGGCTGGACATTGGGAAAGAATGTATGAAACTGCAAAGGCCATGAACTCGAGCAGATGGGAAGTAGCAAGTCACCCAAGTTCATGGTGCCCGCAGCCTGAACTTGGCTGGGAAGTGGTAGGGGGAGGGGGAGGTGTGCGGGGAGTTGTGGTGTGAGCACTTTAGACCCCACTGCAGGAATGGCAGGAGGTGGCCCAGGCGCTGGGGAGTTGTCACTGTCCCCAATGAGAAGAGAATGAGGTTGGGTCAGCACTAGCTGGAGGGACCCAAGGCTGTTGAGGCTCTAGAACAAATGATAGAAAGTTGCCCAGGTCCTTTGTGAACCCACCACCATCTCCATGCCTGGCCAGAGCTCCTGATTCCTGACAATGCCAACGTCTTCTACGCAATGAGTCCAGCTGTCCCTGGGGACTTCGTGCTACGGCAGAAGGAGGGGACCCGGCACACACCTTCTGCCTCCACAAGCTGAGGTGGCACTCTCCTCCCTCCAGGTCACAGGCCCCTTGGGCAACTTGGGACCTGGCTTCTACAGCCATGGGGGCCGGGAACCCCTCTCCTGGAAAGCCTCTGTCCCCTAGTAGGGCTCTGTATTTTCTGGTAACCCCGCCTCAACTTCAGCCCATCAGCCCCTGGCCCTCTGACCTCTGAGTCCTGGACCCTCATTCCCGTGATGTTAGCATGCAGGGTGGCCACGATGGTGACAAAAAGGCAGAGAAAACCGAGAACCCTGAGAAAGGCACTGATAGTTACTGTGGATGCCAGAGTGGACCCTGCTGCACATGGAGGGAGGGTGTAGGGGCACTCCCCGACTTTTGGAGGGCAATGTCTTTCCTGATGTGTATATAGGAGAGTGAAGATTTGAAATTGCATCAGAAACAGAAAGAAATCACCCTATCAGAAGTCAATAAGGGCCGTGAAGACAGAAAAAGCACGTGAGCTCTCACTGCCCGTAGGAAGAAGAAACCGGTGGAGAAAGCAGACCAGGAGCCGAGCGGCCACTGCAAAGTAGTGATAACGATTCGTAGTAATAAAAATATTAACATGCCCACCACGGGCTTCTAGTCTGAGCTGGACATCCACTAAGCGCTTTATATCTCACTGTATTAATCAGAGTTTTTTTGCTTTAAGTAGTTGAAATCCTATTCAAATAGGTATGTACCAAAAAGAAAATTGATAGCTCATGTAATTGAGAAGGCAACTGGGTCTGGCTTCAGGCACAGTTGGATCCAGGGACTCAAAAGATATCAGAATTTTATTGCTGTGTGTTGGCTGTGGTTTTCTCTGAGAATGAGACTGTTATCCCCCAAAATCCAATTACCCTTTTCTATAGTAATAGAGTCACTGACTTTTTAGCTAGCCATTCTAGTTAAAGCTGCATTTCCTAAATCCCTGCATCAAGTGTGGCCATATAAGATATAAAAGGAAAGAAGAAGGGGTATATATCTCCCTCTCCCTCCTTTTTCTGCTGGTTGGAATGAAGATGTGGAGTGGATCATCTTGGATTGAGTGGCCCATGTCCTCTGAATGACTGAGCAACAAGCTGGAAGGAGCCTGGGTCTCTGCGACCTTGGAGCTGCCATTTTAGGATGCTGCCACTGGACTGTCACATAGGAGAGAAATAAATTTCTATCTTTCTTAAGCCTTTATTATTTGGTTCTCTGTTACAGTCGCTCAAAGAACAATTAGTATAGCCCTACTCCAAGGCAGGCTCACATCCCACCAGTGCTACTGACACCGGTTCTGGGAAATCAGGATTGGGTTTCATTCCCCTGGTGTGGAGACTGAACACCGAGAAATGCCAAGGCAAGAGCAAAAAGTTTTGTTTAAAGGGTAGAGGGGGAGAGAGAGGGGAAGAAGAGGAGGAGGAGGAGGAGGAGGAGGAGGGAAGAAAAGAGAAGAGAAGGGAGACTCCTCTGTAGAGGAGGGGACCCAAGGCTGGTGCCCGAGGGAGGGGGTGTTCTGTCCTCTGTAGATTTCAGATTTCCTTTCTTCTCATGCCCCCTCCTCCTCTATTTTGCCTACTTGACGGAAAGGTGCAGTGACCCAGAGCAGGAAAGGAGCCATTTAGAGGTACCGGCAGGAAGGGAGTCACCCAGGAAGTGCTCATTAACAACTCCTTGAGGAGAGGAACAGAACCTGGAGGCAGGTGGCCTTGGCAACAGATTGGAGGAGGGGAACGGGCTCTGGAGGTATTAGCATTTTGTTTCCTTTTGAATCAGCTCTCATTTTCCTGACTCAATCGATCCTTGCCTAACTGACTGTCCTTTTGCCCTGGTCTGAGGGCCCTCCTCTGCCAACAGAACTCCTCCTTCCCATAGTGACCACAGCAAAAATCTCAGAGCAAGTTCCCACTGGACCATCTTGGGTCACATGTCTATCCCTGAACCAAATGCTGATTGGCCAGATTGGGGTCCTGTGCCCACCCCCTGAGCTGGCACAGAAAATTCAAATCACAGGGGGGGTGTCTTGGTGGGCACACACATGGAAGTGAAATTCAGATGCTGTATGAGGAGGAGGAGGAGAAATTCTAGTGAATGGGCTTAAAACAGTTCCTACGGTTCTTTCTTTCTTTCTTTCTCTTTTTCTTTCTTTCTCTTTTTCTTTCTTTCTCATCCCAGCCCCAGTCCCTATGGTTCTAACCTTGTCCCTTTTGAGAAATAGCAAGGAAAGCCCAGGCACCATCAGGAGTAAGAGAGGGGATAGAAGAAGCTAACCTTCATGTAAGGTCTGATGGAACACTGGTTACAGTACACATCATGCTACTTTTCAGAGTTGTTTTTCTTCTGTGAGTATAAAGACCTGAAGACCATTTGAATATAACAGCATCCTATTTGAACTAACCCAAGCAACTAATAATTGCTATCCCCACTGTGTGCTCACTGTGTGCCAAGTTTTAAGAATTTCACTTAGCCAGGCTCCTGGCACACACCTGTAATCCCAGCAGTTCAGGAGGCTAAGGTGGGAGGATCAAAAGTTCAAAGCCAGCCTCAGCAATTTAGCGAGGCCCTAAGCAATTTAGTGAGACCTTGTCTCAAAAGAAAAAAGTAAAAAGTTCTGGGGATGTGGCTCAGTGGGAAAGCGCCCCTAGGTTCAATCTCTGGTATCCAAAAAAAAAAGGAAAAAGAAAAGAAAAATAATCTAATTTAATTCTCACCATACCCCTAAGGACTGAGCACTGTATTATCTCCGTTTTATACATGAAGAACTGAGACTAGCAAAAGTAAGTGGCTGGGCTGGGATTGTGGCTCAGTGGTAGAGCACTCGCCTAGCATGGGCGGGACCCGGGTTCGATTCTCAGCACCACAAAAAATTAAAGGCATTGTGTTGTGTCCATCTACAAAAAAAAAGTAAGTGGCTGGTGTTCAAACCAGAATAATATAACACCAGAAGAAATGTACTTAACCACAAGGCCAGTTTACCACTTTTATTTACAACTGAGTGTCTCTCTGTCTCTGTCTCCCTCCAGATGCCAGTTACCTAAGGAAAACATCCTCACTGATCTGTGTGTTTACTGGGGGTGGAACCCAGGGCCTGGTACACGTTATGCAAGTGCTGTATCACCAAGTTACACCCCCAGCCCCAACTTCTGTGGTTTCCTTCCTTCCTTCCTTCCTTCCTTCCTTCCTTCCTGTTTCTTTCTTGGTGCCGGGTACTCAGGAATAGTTGTACGGGCTACACAAGATCCACTGTTTGTCTGTATCTCTTAGCTTGGTTCTCTCTATTTATGGGGGGGCGGGCTACTGGGAATTGAACCCAAGGGCACTTTACCACTGAGCTACATCCACTGCTCTTTTTTATTTCAGAGTCTGTTCAGGGTCTGCTAAGTTGCTTAGGGCCTCTCTAAACTTCTGAGGCTGGCCTCAAACTTGCAACCCTCCTGCCTCAGCCTCCTGAGCTGCTGGGGTTACAGGCATCCGACGGGCTCTCCCCTAATCTTTTACACCATAAATACTTTTACTATGTGCCAGACTCTGTTCTCAGTGGTGGGACTACAGTAATCAAGAAAAGGGTCAAATGTCCCTGCCCCCATAGACTCAATAACAAAACATTAAACATATATCAGGTGACAAGCACAGTAGTAGCCAAAAAGGGAAAAAAAAAAGTTGTTTAAAGGTGAAGGAGGCATGTGGGGGAGGTGATCAGAGAAGGCTTCACTGAGGAGGCAGGTGCGGGGAGAGGTCTGAATAAGGTGAGGGAGAGAGCTCGGTTAATATCTAGGGGAAAAGCCTTCCAGGGAGAGGGAAGGAACAGCACACAGCTCATGTCAACTTCACCGTCTGGTTATTTCTTCCTTCCTACTGGCAAAGATGCCTCTCTGGTTACACCACAACATCTGCAAGAAAAGGGAGCCTCTTTTCCCAGCAAATCCAGCTGAAATCTCAGGATGGAAGCTCAGACTGTCTTGGTTAACAAGCCCACCCTGAACCAATCACTGAGTGTCAGGGAATGGTGTACTCTGATTGGCTAGTCTGGGGTAGGAAAGCTCAATGGTTACCCCCTCCCTTCTGTAGGTGTGCACCTCTGTGCAGGTATGTACCCCAGTTTGAGAAATTCAGTCCTAGTGAATGGATTTGATGATTTATAATATAATTATTTTCCAGATTATTAAAAGAACCATATAAAATAAAATACCAAGTGTATAAAAATGTAAGGGGCTGGGGTTGTGACTCAGCGGTAGAGCACTCGCCTAGCACATGCGAGGCCCTCAGCACCACATAAAAATAAATAAATAAATAAAGGTATTGTGTCCAACTACAGCTGAAAAATAAATATTAAAAAAATATGTGGGGCTGGGTTTGTGGCTCAGTGGTAGAACACTCACCTAGTATGCATGGGGCATTGAGTTCAATCCTCAGCACAACATAAATATAAAATAAAGATATTGTGTCAACCTAAAACTAAAAAAGAATATTTTTAAAAAGTAAGCATTTCCCCCCACAAAATCATAAATGAAGTCTCACTCCAGAATATGTGTAACTTTACAAATGAAGGACCACGTTGTACCTTCCTCGCAGCAGGAGCAGGAGCAGCCCTGCTCCTCTACTCAATTGCTAGTCGTTATGATGATTGTTCTTATTTCCAGTCTGGGGAGGAGTGCTGATCAGCAGGATAATATCAGTAGCTTACATTTTTTAAATGCTTGCTACGCATCAGGCTAGGTTTTACAGATGAGAAGAATGAAGATCGGGTAAGGTAAGTTACTTGTCTAGGGTCACATAGTCACACAAAGTGTGTCCGATGTTGCTTTTGGAGCTGTCCTTGGCCTCCAAGGGGCCACTGGTCCCAGGAGGGCCCCTGCCCCCTCCCGGCGGGTGCTTATCTCTGCCCAGGCTGCGTGCTGGTCCCGCCCCTTTGGGGGAGCTGCCTCTTGGAGGCTTCTGGCCGGGAAGAGCCTGCCTGGTCAGCTGTGTCCGGTGGAGGCAGCTGCGGAACCCAGCTGTGGACTGTGCCAGGGGCTGGTCCTCGGGGCAGGAGCCCTGGGCTCCCCGGGGCCGGGTGGAACCATGGGCCACCTCAGGGCTCCCCTTTGGCCCCGGGTCAGTCCTCTCTTTCTCCTGCTTGCTGAAGCAGCTTTGGCGCCCCCACTCAACCTGCCTAACCCCAAGCTTGAGAGCAAAGGTAAGAATGGAGTCTGTGTGGACCCCCACCCTGAGTCCTGGAGGGCAATGCTGGGGCCTGAATTCCCACTCTGGGTCCTGAGGGCCATTCTAGGTTCTGTACCTTCAGACTGGATCCTGGGGAGCAAGCTAGTGTCTGAATCCCCAGACCCGGTCCCAATGAAGCATGCTGGGGTCTAAGTCCCCAGGATGGGTCTTGGGGAAGAAGTTAAGAGAGGGGCATAAGATTCTTATTTTAGGGCTGGGGATGGAGCTCAGTGGTAGAGTACTTGCCTCCCATGTGTGAGGCACTGGGCTGATCCTCAGCACCACAGAAAAATAAATAGATACTTTGTGATATATATACATATAAATGATTCTTATTTTATCTTTTCAGGGAGTCTAGGACATGCTAAAGCCTAATGGAACAAGGGTGTGCTGGGTCTAGGACTCCTGCAGTCTGAGTCCCTGGGGGGAGGGGATCAAGCGGACCCTCCAATTGGGAAAAGAGGCTAAAGCCTCGAGTCAGAGGGGCCAGGCTGCAGGCGACTGTGAACACGGTTTGCGAGCGGGCGCCAGATCCCTAGCCCCGTCGGGTGGAAGAAGGGAGCGGGGGACACGGTTGGCGCTATCGGGAGCCTGTTGGGGCAGATAGGGGACCGCCTCCTCCATACACACCCAGCAGTGCACACATCCAGGCCTGGAGCAGCGCGGGCAGCTGGGGGCCGAGGTCTTGAAGGTTGTGCACTGCTCAGCTGGCCACGGGGTGGGCGGGTGTGTGTAATGGGGTGGGGGACAGTAGGCAAGCAACCTGCGCTGGGGAGTTCCAAGGGCACCCCCTCTGCAGACCCCTGGAGGACCCTGCTCCGGGAGAGGGCGGGGCGGTGCTTTTTTTCTTATCGCGTCCGCACAGGCGGCGGAGGGAGGGGAAGGGGGCTGTGGCCAGGAACAGGGCTCGGCTTCCCTGACCCCCTCTCATTGTCACTTCCCAGCGGCCCTGCTGGCAGCCCGCGGGTCCGAAGACCTTCTGTGCTTCACCGAGAGATTGGAGGACTTGGTGTGTTTCTGGGAGGAAGCGGCGAGCTCTAGGATGGGCTCCCACAACTACAGCTTCTTTTACCAGCTCGAGTGAGTCAGGGCAGATGTCCCACCGGTGTGTGTGTGTGTGTGTGTGTGTGTGTGTGTATCGAGGGGTGCGGTGCGGGCAGGTAGAATTTCCCGGAGGCCATAGCCTGAGATGTCCCCTAGAGCCTGGAGTTGGACGGCGCCTCCGGTTGTGGTCACTGGTGGAAAATCTACCAGGCCAGGGCTAACACTCCCCCTAGTGGCACGTGCTGGAATACTCCAGTGATCGCCGCTTCCACGCGACCCCAAAACATCAGGGACTGGGGCAATATAATTTCTATGCTGGACTCAGGCGTCACTACCCCGGAGCTGGGGCTTCCCCCGGTGCTAGTAACCAAAATGCCACCACAGTCTGGACAACACAAATTTCCCAGCTCCCCCTCCCAATTTGCTTCCTTCTCTCCTGGGTTCCCCGGCGCATAGGGGTGAGCCACGGAAGCCGTGTCACCTGCACCAGGAACCCACTGCCCGTGGCGCGGTGCGCTTCTGGTGCTCGCTGCCTACGGCCGACACGTCGAGCTTCGTGCCCTTAGAGCTGCAAGTCACAGTGGCTTCCTCGGGCACTCTGCGCTATCGCCGTACCATCCACATCAACGAAGTGGGTATGTGCGCGGAGAATGGAGGAGGGGTCAGGGGAGGGGGTCTTAGTCTCCGCCCACCTGATCAACCCCACTCTGCAGTGCTCCTGGACGCCCCAGCAGGGCTGTTGGCACGGCAGGCCGAGGAGGGCGGCCACGTGGTGCTACGGTGGCTCCCGCCTCCTGGGGCACCTATGACGACCCAAATCCGCTACGAAGTGGATGTCTCGGCCGGCCACGGTGCAGGAGGATCGCAGAGGGTGAGGCCTGCCGGGACCGTCCAGCCCTAGCAGCTCCACAGCAGACTGCCTGCCCCCCCTAAGTCCCCACCCAGAAGGGCCCCACGGCCCGCCCTCGAGGCCCGGTCCCTCCAGCCCCATCCCTGACGGCCCACATCCCACTGCCTTGATGCCTAAGAAAGCTCCACGCTCATTTTCACTACCCCTTTGCCAATGCCCCGCTGATCCGCTTCAACCCCAACTTCTGTCACTCTTAAATCCCTAACCGCACACTTCAGGACGCAGTTCACTCTAGGCTGTCGGGCTCCGCCTTTAGGTAGCGCAGGTCACGCCCTTTGTTATGGGATCTTTACTCTGATTGGCCTTGAGCTTTCCTGGGATACGCCCCCTACTCTCATTGGCCCAGACTCAGGCATTGCCTCTCTCTCCGACTAGCTGGATCCCGGCAGGGCCCGCCCCAAGCGCCCTTCTCTGTACTCCACCTTGTGCCCCTCGCCCAGGTGGAGATTTTGGAGGGTCGCACTGAGTGCGTGCTGAGCAATCTGCGTGGAGCCACGCGCTACACCTTCGCAGTTCGTGCGCGTATGGCCGAGCCGAGCTTTGGTGGTTTTTGGAGCGCCTGGTCTGAGCCTGTGTCGCTGCTGACTGCTAGCGGTGAGACCCAGGTGGGGGTGTGGAAGGAGCTGGGGAGAAATGCTGGGCAAACCCATGCCCTGACCTCCTCCTTACTTCCTAGACCTGGACCCCCTCATCCTGACGCTCTCCCTCATCCTGGTGCTAATCCTGCTGCTGCTGGCCGTGCTTGCCTTGCTGTCCCACCGTCGGTAAGCGCCCCCCCCCGCCCCCGCAATCTGGGCACGTGGATGTTCCTTGGAACATCCTTCTTTCACTAGGGAAAACTAGATTTAGGAGGAAACACTCTCCCAAAGTGACCAGACCCAGATTCTTGGTTAAAATTTTCTGTCCCTGGGAACGTGCACCTGGTTTTCCTTGTTCCTCAGTGTCTGCTCCTTCTTGGATTCCTTTGCTAGTTCCTTTTCCTAGTGTAATGACTTTTATCAAATCAACCAGATGGTCTTAAGCTTCTGAATGGCCCTTGACCCTTGTTGTCAAGTTCCTTAGATGCTTAATGATCTGACTAGCCATTCTGAGGTCTAATTCCAAGCACACACCGTGCCTTTTCACACCCCAAGTCTCTGCACCTGCAGTTCCTTCTGCCTGGGATGTCCTTCCTGCCGTGCCCACTAATTCACTTTCATGGCCTTGTTCACTTATTTGTGGGAAAGTACATATTGGGTACCAAAATGTGGTAGGCACTGAGGAGAGAGTGGAGAACAAGCCAGATCCTGCTTACAAGTCCCTGACTTTGTGGATCTCGTAGTTAAGTCAACAAACAAGGCAGACAACAAACAAGGGAACCAACAAATATTTAATTATAAATTGCTATGAGTACACACACACACACACACACACACACTCACTCACTCTCCCTGTCTCTTGCTGTGTGAAGCTTTGCTCTGCCTCAGGACTGCCAGCAAAGAGGCCATCTCCAGATGTCGGCCCTCAACCATGTGCCTTCAGAACCATGAGCCAAAATAAACTTCTTTATAACTCATCAAAAAAAAAATTGCTGGGCTGGGGGTGTGGCTCAAGCGGTAGCGCGCTCGCCTGGCATGCGTGGGGCCCGGGTTCCATCCTCAGCACCACATACAAACAAAGATGTTGTGTCCGCTGAAAACTAAAATATGTATGTGTGTATATATATATATATATATATATATATATATATATATATAAAATTAAAAAAATTGCTATGAGTGATATCCTAGAAACACATGGCATGGGTACATATATGATGGGATAGTTAGGGAAGGCTTCTGGAGTAGAAACCTCAGAGTTGATAGGAAGCAGCCATGTGAAAAGTGGGGAGAAGAAACTGCAAGTGCAAAGGTCCTTTGGTGGAAATGAAGTTGGGACACTGAAGCAGCTGTAAGAGATATGGCTGGAGCACTCTGTGAGGGGGGAATGATGAATGAGGCAAAGGAAATACCAGGAGGCTGATCACGCAGGACCTGTGGGGCAGGGGAAGGAGTTTGGATTTTGTTTTGTGTGTGTGTTGGGGATGGGACCCAGGGCCTCAAGAGTGCTAAGCATGCCTTCTACATGAGCTACATCCCCAGCCCTGGATATATTCCGAATGCTGAGAAACCACTGAAGGGAGTGATAAGAGTAGTGACAATAGTGCTCCTCCAGGCAAACCCTGGCAGGTTCGGAGCTTGAGTCAGTTTATATTGAGCTCCTTGTCATCCTCACAAATCCGCTCTAATTAGCCTTCTGAAGGACCTCACTGATGCTTCAGCCAAAGCCCCTGTTCCCCAGTCCTGATGTACCCCTCTGTGTCCCTCATGATCACAGGGACCAGGAATATTTGTACACATGTGACTGGGGGCTAAGAGCAGTGGTGAGTGTTCAATGGCTTATGTCCACCAAAATATTTCTATCAATTTCAACAGGGCCCTGAAGCAGAAGATCTGGCCGGGCATTCCAAGCCCAGAGAGCGAGTTTGAGGGTCTCTTCACCACCCACAAGGGTAATTTCCAGGTAGGTGGCCTGGTTGTCCCCCCAGAGCCTGGGGCTATCCTGCCCCTGAAAGTGGAAGCCCTGGCCTCTGAGCAGCTGGTTTTGCTTCTCCAGCTGTGGCTCTCCCAGCACGATGGCTGTCTCTGGTGGAACCCCTGCACACCCTTCACAGAGGACCCACCAGCCCACCTGGAAGTCCTTTCAGAGCGCTGCTGGGGGGTTACCCAGGCAGTGGAGCCAGGAGCAGATGACACGGGGCCTCTGCTGGAGCCAGTGGGCAATGAACGTGCCCAGGACTCCTATCTGGTGCTGGACAAGTGGTTGCTGCCCCAGAGCCCATGCAGTGAGGACCTCTCAGGGCCTGATGGCAGTGTGGACACAGTGGCTGTGGATGAAGGCTCAGAAGCATCCTCATGCTCATCTGCTTTGGTCTTAAAGCCCAGACAAGAGGGCGCCTCAGCTGCCAGCTTTGAGTACACCATCCTGGATCCCAGCTCCCAGCTCCTGCGTCCACGAGCACTGCCTCCTGAGCTGCCCCCCACCCCACCCCACCTGAAGTACTTGTACCTCGTGGTTTCTGATTCAGGCATCTCAACTGATTACAGCTCAGGGGACTCCCAGGGAGCCCAAGGGGGCTCCTCTGATAGCCCCTACTCCAACCTGTATGAGAACAGCCCTGTCCCAACCCCTGAGCCTCTATCCCCCAGCTATGTGGCCTGCTCTTAGGACTCCAGCCTACAGATGCTTGGGGATCCAACAGGACTGCAGCGCCAGTTCAGGTCCAAGACTGACCTGAACAGGAACGGAGAGGCTGCCCTCAAGGCTAGGGGCATTGCTAACTTTGACTGTTTACCCGACCCATTCTGCTCAGAAAGTCCCAACTGTGCAGTATTTTATAATATGTATGTTCTTTTTTTTTTTTTTTGTATATACATATATGTATAAAATATGTTAAGTTTTTCTACTATGACTTCTGCAAACTCTCTGTAAGCCCCATATTTCCCTAGGCCATGGCCACAGGGGCAGCAGATAAAGTCCTTGATCTCACTCTGAAATTTTGGACCTGGCAATGTGAAGACTAATCATAATGAAATAAATTAGTCATGTAAATTATACTAGCTGGTGTAACAAGCAGCTCCTAGATCTTAGTGGCTTAGCTCATTACATGGTTTCTCGCTGATATCCTAATTCAGACTGGTGGGAAGCCATTTTGGGATGAGTCAGAGGCCCAAACTCTTTTGGTCTATAGCTTAGTCTTCTCTTGGGATGACCATGGGGTCCTTAGATCGATGCTGTACGTCCTGTCAGCTAATAAACAAAGGGATGCAGCAGAATAGCAGAAGATTCCACGGTTCATTTTAGGGATCTCATGTGAAGACAGTCTCTTTTGTCACATTCTACTGGTCAGAAAGTCATGTGACCCAACTAGAACCATGGGATGCTGGGAGATGTAATTTGTTGTACACCCAAGGAGAAGAAAACTTTTTAGTAACCCTCTATCTAGTCTCTATCACTATAACAACAATAGGGGCTGGGGTTGTGGCTCAGCCATAAGCACTCGCCTGGCGTGTGCAAGGCCTGGGTTCAATCCTCAGCACCACATAAAAATAAATAAATAAAAATAAAGGCATTGTGTACAACTAAAATAAATAAATTTTAAAAAAACAACAATAAAACAATATCTCACAGGGCTTTATTCTGAATAAGGCTTTTTTTTTTTTTTTTTTTTGGTTCTGGGATTGAACCCAGGGGTACTCTGTTACTGAGCTACATCTCCAATCCTTTTTATTTTTTATTTTGAGACAAGGTTTCACTAAGTTGCTTAGGGCCTCCCTAAGTTGTTGAGGCTGGCCTTGAACTTACAATCCTCCTGTCTCAGCCTCCTGAGTTGCTGAAATTACAAGCTTGTGCGCTACACCTAGTCAGGCCATGTTTTAAAGAAAACACTGGCTCCTATAATTACAACTACTCAGGAGGCTGAGGTGGGACGATTGCAAGTTGTAGGCCAGTCTCAACAACTTAAAGAGACCCTGTCTCAAAAATTAAAAAAACAACTGAGGATGTAACTCAGTGGTAGAGCGTCCCTGGGTTCCATCCCCAGTACTGGGGACAAAAGGGGGTGGTGAGAGAAAGTACTGTGGTGATGCCAAATATCATTATGGCATTTAGCAGCAATTTTCATTTGACCCCTTTTTAAAAGTTTGGCTTAATCAGAGAAAGCTGAAAACATGCATACTTTATGCTACAGAAATTCCACTTTTTAAGTATATACCCTAGGTATATATCCTGGTACACCTATGTATACTGGACATGTTTACTAGAATGTTCAAGCAGTAAATAAGTCAATCTGATGAATAAATTAGGGTATAGTTGCCCGTGGATTAATATGCAACATCAAAAAAGGAATGAACTAGAAGATGTGGCTGAGTCTTAGTTACAATCTTAACTGGGCAAAGAAGGAAGCCTCAGATTACATTTATCATGAAACTCTTTATGCAGTTCAAAACAGTAAAAAAAAAAAATCAATTGATTGGACATAATATGTACATGGTAATACTAGGGTGTTTTTGCTTGTTTATGGTATCGAGGATTGAACCCAGGGCCTCACACATGCTATGCAAGCTCTCTCCCCAACCTCTATAATGCTAATTTTTATTTATTTTTATTTTTTAGGTGTAGATGGACACAACACAATGCCTTTATTTTTATGTGGTGCTGAGGATCAAACCAGGGTCCTGCCCATGCTAGGCGAGTGCTCTACTGCTGAGCCACAATCCCAGCCCTATAATGCTAATTTTTAACCCCTATATATAGAGCTAAAGAGAAGAAGCACTTTATATTCTTTAAGTGATGAATCTGCATACGTTCCTGAAATAAGTATTCCAGCCCCTGGAAACTGAGGCAGATAGGTTGTCACACACCAAGGTTCAGGGCTGGTCTCTAGAGCTTGAACTCTTGTCTGAGCTGGGGTCACAAGCCTGGGTGGGCCACCTGGTGATCTTCATCTCTCCATCTGGTTGGAAAGTCACACACCACTCTGTCCTGGGACCCAGCCCACTTGGCTCAAGGCAGGCTCGGATGTGGCACTCTCCTGGGCCTGGTGCATCTGGCTGCAGCCAGCACTGGGCAGGGAAATACCGCTGGAGCAGTGTCAGCTGCAGGGCATCCCCACTGTCTCCTTCCTCCTGAGTCTGGAGGGCCACCATGAGCCCACAGTCCCGGTTGGGTCCACGTCGGTGGCTGAAGTAGGCAACTGTATCCAGAAGCAAGGCAGCCAGGTAGGCGGCTTCCTGGGGCCCAGGGTCTTTTGCTAGGTACTCCTCCAGGCCATCAAGCAGCAGTAGGGAGGGGGCAGGCCCCGGAGCCTCATGGGCAGAGCACAGGAGCCGGAGAAGTTCTCCGGTTGAGGGTGGGTACTGGAAGCGAATCTTCTAGAAGATTCAAAAAAAAAAAAAAAAAAGAGAAAGAAAAGAAGAGGCCAGATTCAGCACAGGAAGTCAGACTCCCTGCTGTCCCAGACTCTCTCGCTCCCTAGACAGCTGGTTCCAGGGTGACAACGTGGTAAATATTCTCCTATTCATCCTTTTTCCAGCACTGCCATAGTCCTAGTTAAGGGCCAGTACTGCCAGAGGAAACCTGCCCCTACCATCACTCTCAGTCCGACCAAGCCCTGAAAATTTAGCTCCATTAGCCCCACCCCTCAATTAACATTGACCCCGCCCCCTGGGCCTGCCTCTAACACCGCCCGTCGTGAGCTGCTATTTCACTCAATTAAGTTCCGCTGGTTCCACCCCTCACGCACTCCTGACTCCACCCCATCATGGCCGCTCGGGTGAGCCCTCCCGCCATCCCCGCCAGGGACCTACCAATCTATCACTCAATCCTCGACCCGCCCCACTATTGGCTGGTATGCCTCTGGTCCCGCCCCACCGTTACCTGCAGCCGCAAAGGGTCAAGCGCCGCACCGGTGCCGCGGGGCAGGCTTTGAAGAGGCCTACGAGTCAGGAAGAGGACAGGGCCTCGGCCCTCTCCTGCTGCCTCCAAGGCCGCCGCAAATAGCAGCGCTGTTTTTCCAGAGCCTGGAGCACCGAGTAAGAGCAAAGGCGGCCCCGCCTCTGCCGTGTCCTCCCCGGTCCCCACCGCGCTGCCCCGGCTTAGCACCCGCCTCAGCGTCTCCGCCATTCGCAACACATCTCTGTCCAATCGAGAGCGCATTCCCAGCCTTGATCCCTCCCAAACTGAGGCCTCATTGGTTACAGTAAACTTAGCTTCTCTATTGGTCCCTGGAGCTGTCCGTCAAAAGTAAATCGTGTTTGCTAGCTCTCCCCCTGGGGACTGAGCAGATAACCTAGTCTTGAGTTTTGGAAAGATGGAGGAATTTAAGGGAGATAAGACCTTCCTCTGAGGGAGGCTTCTGGGGGAAGCAGCATGAGTACTATTACTGTGACTAATCAGCTAGTCAGCTAATCAGCATATCTTTTCCTATGCTTTCATCTTTAGTCTGTGCTTACAAGGTGTCTTGTAAGCAACATATACGCATTGAGTGTTGGAGCAAACAGGCCCAAATCACTGACATTACTTCAAGTCTCCTAGCCTAAGTTTGCTCACCTGTAAAATGGGTCTCATGGTGTCTCAGGGCAATATTGATGGGCTTGTGTCTGTGTGTGGTTTTGATGATGTCACCCAATGCAACTGAGAAGTGTAGAGGGATGAGTTGTGTGCTTGTGTCTCTACACACCTGAATATGGTCACAAGTGTTTGGGGCCACAGGTTCAGGCACACTGTGTGCAAACAACAACGACACAACAAAACAGCAACAGCTACCTAAGAGGCTCTGTGAGAAGAGGCTACTCACCTTACTTTCTCATTGGCATGGGGGCTTCTCGAATCTTGCTTGTGCTGAGGGAAGGAGCGAAGGGGGAATATAAGACAAAAGAGGCAGGAAAGAAAGGGGCTGGGAGAGAGAAATTCAGTAGAGGTCTGGTTTGTCTTGTCACCTCTGTCACTCCAGGGCTCAGAACAGCGTTAACACATTGTAAGTCTCAAATATGTTCTTGTTAAATCAGCAAAGGAAGAAAGGTAGGGATTTTGAGAAACTGGGTGAGAGGAAGGAACGAAGTGAGTGAGCATGATCACTGACTGGGTCTCCTCACCCAGACTTTGCCCCAGAGCTGCCACTCATGTCTGTGTTGCCCTGGCAACCTGGTCTCCTGGTAACTTCAAAGTGGTGCTGTTGCCTGGAGACCCAGGGGCAGGGCAGAACTGTGATTTCCTGGGCTTTCTCTCTCTCTGGGACCAGAAAACAGCTCCACAACATCCCCCAATACACCCACTCAAACAGCTGGGTACCCCCACACCCTTCACACACACACACACACACACACACACACACACCATGACATCTCTGCATATATTTCAATTCCAGAATCTCCATCATCCACATGCTCACAGCTATATCCATCCAGACACAAAGGATCCCATATGCATTCTGTCCTGTGTTCACACACATCCTTTCTCTTGCACACACACAAGAACACACTCTGATACAACTGTACCATAGCCACTACCTGCATGCATGCACATGCACACAAACACATACAAACTCCGAGGCACATGGTTACTCAGCTCTGTCAAAAATACTGCCTCAGCACCCACCCCCACCAGATACATTACACTGCAACACATCAGTTATACAGAGTAGTCAACACTAACATCACACAATTACCTACCCAGGGGCATTCTGAGGCCCCAGCTCAGGCCCTTTTTACTTGATGTTCCTTTACCCAGAGCAGTCATTCATAGACATCTGTTTATCTCATGTTTTGGTACTGGGGATAGAATCCAAGGGTTCTTTACCACTCAACCACATCCCAGTCCTTTTTTTTTTTTTTTTTTTTTAATTTTGAGACAAGGTCTCACTAAGTTTTTGGGAGTCTTGCTAAATTGCTGAGGATGGCCTCAAATTGAAGTCCTCTTGCCTTGGCCTCTGGAGTCATGGGGTTATAGGTAAGCACCATCACACCCAGCAGATTTATAAAAAACAAACAACTCCAGGGGTTAGGGTTGTGGCTCAGTGGTAGATGGCTCTCCTAGCACATGCGAGGCCCTGGGTTCGGTT